ATCTGTACTTTTCCAATCATTGGCATTTTTTACCTTGCTATACAACAGTGCAGAAAGTGAATTGGTAACACACTGCTTTCCACTTAAGTCACCAAATCTTGTATCACCTTGATTGAATGTCCCTTGGGCAACAAGCGTTATTTGTGTATCGACTCTCGTGCATTTGTCTTTGTGATCACTTTCAAGGGTTTCGTCCTTGGTGTTACGTTCGTTGTGAACGACTGATTCAGACTGATTACTTGCACACTGTTCATATGTCATGTCCAAAAGATTTGCAGTACCTTTCCTCTCATCGTGATTTATCGTACCAGTCTCCAACGTGAGCCTACGTTTTTTTCCCTTTGGATCAACATGGTTTTGAAATGTTTCAGGAGACTTATCCACTACTTCATCAATTTCTTCCTCTATCTGCGCCTTGGATCTACACTTTTTGAACTCATGCTTTACTTTAACATCAGCCTGAATTGATGGACATGGCAAAGTTCTCTTTGACGTTCTATCTTCTTTAGTTGTTCTTGTCTGTTCCAATGAATTGAAATTGACAAAATCTACAGATTCAACAACATTAAAATGAACATTTCCTGTGTACAGTATATAAATTCCCTTATCAGATGTTACAATATTTATTCTTCCAGGTTTCTTTGCAGAGAACAATTGCCAACATGGTACTTGGTCATTGTATGAATAAATATCAGTATCGATTAAATTTGCTAAAGCGCTAATTTCAGTGTCTGTAGCCCACGTTCCGTCTTCCTTTATTCTACGTTTCAAAACATATTCTCTGACTGTTCTATATTCTTGCCTGAATGTATTACTAAACATGTCCTTGGTTTGCAATAAATGTTTCACAGTGGCATTTCTTAGAATTGCATGATTACGCTCAGTTCCAGAAATTACATAGGAAATTGCACGAAAGAAACAATTGCCATCACCAGTAATTTGTTTACTCTGTAAAGGAACTCCAATACAGCTATTTCTATCTAACCTTGAATCACAGCCTTTGCCTATATATCTGATATTCAGTTTTGAACAAATGTTCCGTTTGTCATTATTCTGGAGGGGTACAAATTTAAAATCTTTATCTGGTCTGTCACGTAATCCAAGATCTGCTACAAATTCAACTTCTGTTTCTGTTTCATCAGTACATGTGTACATATTAGCATCTATTGCCTTTTCAATGTCTTCATCTTTGATATTTGAATCTGAAGAAGATTCTAAAGGATTCCTTGAATGAGCATGATCATTAAATGACATATCAGTATCATTGTCTGTACCATCTTTTACTGTATCAAAGCTTCTATTCTCCAGGTCATTGTCAAACACTGCATCTTCTTGTACACCATCTGAAACATCTGAAAAATCATTTTTCATCATATCATCATTTTCCAATACCGATTCACAGACATTGTCTACTGGTTCATTTATGGGCATATCTTTTGGTCTATCACAAACATTCAAAGGCATATTGCGTTCTGGTAAAACACTTCTATCGCATAAATCACATCCAGGACTTGTGTCTGTATCACTATCAGATTCTATACAATTTCTTGCACACGAACGTTTCACTGGTATATGAACATCACTGCCACTATCATCGTCCGTTTCAATTTCCCCATTTTCATCAAAATTTGATTTCAACAGATTATTCTTTGAATCGTCCTGCACAACTCCATCTGAACCTTTGTTGTCTTTCATATTGCAAATATGCTGGTCTGAGTGTGTATCATTTTTACATGTATTTGTATCAAGTCCTTGGTCACCTGCATTCATCGATATCTTTGTATCCTGCTTCTCATTCTTTACTGCTAATTCTATTCCTTCATCTTTGTCAAATCTAATCTCCGATTTATCAGAAGAGTGATTTCCATCAGTACCTTTTTTCCCTTTGGAAGACTGACCTTTCTTGTTCCTTGCTCGACCTTTCTTGTTCTTTGCTTCTTTTTTCTTGCCACCAGCATGAACTCTGTACTTTCGCAAATCCTTGATCTGTTCAAAAAGATTACAAGTACATACATCGATATCAACACATGTATCTGTTCTAGATTGAGTTGGCAAATTGCTTGCTATGTCTGCCCAGGATCGTGTTTGTGCTGTTTCACTTTGCACACACATGTCATTATACAACTTCATTGCATGTGGGGACTGCACACTGTAGGCATATAAACCTAAAAGAGTTTCTGTGTAAGATTGAACACTGATATCTTTTTTCTCGGATTTCACCTTCTTTTCTTTACAATCAACTTTCTTTCGGTCTTCCTTTTTTTTTCTGCTATGGCTTTCATAGAATGTCTTCATTGCTTTGCCGATGTAAGTTACACCAGGTTCTAAGACTTTGCCATTCACCGATTTTCTTCTGATTTTCCTGTCTGTTTGATGATCATCTATTGATTTGGGATACAATTTTCTTGATTTTAGTTTCTCCACCCATTTCGTCTTCCTTGATTTCACAATTACCCAGTCATCCTCAAATTTTTCATTTTGCATCTCTTCGTGTTCTATTTGGGATGAATTTTCCATAGCCAAAGGATTATGTCTATCAGACTCATTTGTTTTCCTGTCAGTTATATGATGTTGTGTTCCTCTCAATCGATTGGTTTTCTTTCCCTTTTTACCATACCTCTTCTTTGATCTGCCACATTTTCTTTTGTTGGTCGTACTTGATAGGGTCCTTGATTGGTTCAAATCCAAGTAACAGTGTTCATCATGATCACCAAGAAGTTCGTATCTATTGAAATGAGAAGGGATGCATACTTGATCAAACATGCGATGAGCCATGTTGTTATTTCCACAAAATGAACAAATCCAGATCAATGTCAGGTCACTCAGTCTGTCTTCACAAGGGAATCCCATACATGTCACATGAAAATGCTTACTACAACAGTCACATCTTGCATCACTTTCATTTTCTTTGATTTCATTGTTACAGATACAGCATTCATTAAGCTTTGGGTTGGTCACCAATGCACAACTAGTCAGTATATTCATGATTTCATCAAGTGTTTTCTTAAATTCAATTGTATCCATCATGGTAAATTTTGCTTATATACTTGCAACAGTTCTGGTTAATAATTACAAGTCTACAATTAACGGTTCTGTAACTTTGATATATAATGTTCTGTATATATTCCTTACTCCAATAGTCTTTTATTTAAATATTCCTATTGTGAATTATGAAAAACTAATCCTTACTGATATTAAACTCTATGGTATTTCAATAGCCTAGCTTTATATACACTAGCTTGTACTGTGTTAAGGAGCTATAATGTTTTTGTCTCAAGATGGCGTTTTTTATTAAAATTATGAGTAGGTCATTAATAGCCTAAATGTATTGTAGGCCTATATAAGTTCCCAAATTGCTAATTTCTTTGTTACTCTCTCTCTGCAAACAGGTTCACTTTATATCCTGACCAAAATATCTTTCTTATTCTCTCTCAAATCAATCAACCTCACTTATATTTTTAAAACTATATATATATCCTGACCCAATCTTCTTTCTTACTCTCTCTGCAATCAAGCTTACTTTTATTTTTAAAATTCTGAACACTATATATCGAAGGATTTCTTTCCTTTTCTCTTTACAATCAACCACGCTCACTTTTCTAGGACTCTATATATTGACACAAATTTTTTGTGATTATGGTCTTATCAAGTTCTAGGAATTAGAATTAAATTGCTTTCTCGCTGTTGTTCTTCTTTTTATTTCAGTTTGCTTTTAATTCCTTTTAGAAACTGCCAATAATTTCTTTCTAATTTACAGTAATTATGTCTTCTAAAATGGCAATACAGTCTTTCAAACTTGCAATATTGCCTTCTTCACACTATTTTGTTCAATCTTCTTTATTCTTTGCTGTGTATACGCTCTTTTTACTTTCCCAAGATTACTAATACTACTGTTTTGAATTCTAATAGAGGTCTTATCAAGTTCTAGGAATTAGAATTAGATTGCTTTTTCTCTATTGTTCTTCTTTTTATTTCACTTTGCTTTTAATTCCTTCTAGAAACTGCCAAGATTTTGTTTCTAATTGACAGCAATTTTGTCTTCTAAAATCGTAATACAGTCCTTAAAACTTCCAATATTATCTTCAACGACTACTTTCCAATCTACTTTACTCTTTAAAATGTATACCTCTTTTTTTCTTTCCCAAGATTTACAATATTACTGCTTTCAACTGTAATTATGGTCTTATCAAGTTCCAGGAATTAGAATTAAATTCCTGTTCCTCTATTATTCTTCTTTTATTATTTCAGTTTACTTTTAATTCCTTCTAGAAACTGCTAATAATTTCTTTGTAATTGACAATAATTATGTCTTCTAAAATGGCAATACAGTCCTTCGAACTTCCAATATTTATCTTGAACGACTACTTTTCCAATCTACTTTACTCTTTAAAATGTATACCTCTTTTTTTTCTTCCCAAGATTTACAATATTACTGCTTTCAACTGTAAGTATGGTCTTATCAAGTTCCAGGAATTAGAGTTAGATTCCTTTCCCTCTACTGTTCTTCTTTTTATTTCAGTTTACTTTTAATTCCTTCTAGAAACTGCCAATAATTTCTTTATAATTGACAATAATTATGTCTTCTAAAAATGGCAATACAATCTTTAGAAATATTCTGTTCCAGTTTTGATTCGATTCAAGATTTCCAGATTCAAGTTTCATTCAGTATGTTTCAGATTCAAGGTTCAAGATAGTTCAAGTTCAAGTGCTAGTTCAAGTGTAAGTTCAAGAGCAAGTTCAAGTGCAAGTTCTTTGGAGAGTTCAAGATAGTTCAAAATAGTTCAAGATAGTTCAAAATAGTTCAAGATAGTTCAAGATAGTTCAAGTGCAAGTTCAAGTTCAAGTGCTAGTTCAAGTGCAAGTGCTAGTTCAAGTGTAAGTTCAAGTGCAAGTGTAAGTTCAAGTGTAAGTTCAAGTGCAAGTTTAAGTGCAAGTTCTTTGGAGAGTTCTTTGGAGAGTTCTTTGGAGAGTTCTTTGGACAGTTCTTTGGAGAGTTCTTTGGAGAGTTCTTTGGAGAGTTCTTTGGAGAGTTCTTTGGAGAGTTCTTTGGAGTGTACCACCCTCGGTCCTGCAAAAGACAGAAAGGAATAGAAAAAAAATTAATTAAATTCAATAGACACGTCTGGGCAATTCTTGAGAAATCATCAAGGAGCTCGTAGGATAGAACCTTGTGGTACACCATTTGTTATAGACAAAAAAATTGAGGAATTATTATTATAAACTACATATTGAGATCTATTAGAAAGATTACTTTCAAACCAAAATGACAGACAATTTTTGTGTTGTTGTTGTAGTTTCCGAGTGGTGAGTCAACACACTGATTACTGAGCTGGGAGACATTGCCAGGCATAGCGCCATAAATCGAAACTAAAAAAAAAAAAAAAAAAAAAAATTACTCTTTCGCCGCATAGGCCGCACCCCGACTTTTTGATATTTTCTCTTCCAATAATACTGCGGCCTTTACGCCGGCAAATACGGTAGTCACATTACCCAAAATTAGCCTGCTCGGCGGCCGAGCGGCGAGTTTTTAGCCAATTTTGCCCGGTCACCGCTCGTTTTTAAGGCATCGCTCGGTCGCTGCTGAAGTTTTAGCGCGGAGTTAAAATTCGGGGCGGCGCCTGCTCACTTTCACTCGCCGCCCAGACTACGCTCGGCGACCGGGTGGTCGCCGCCCGGACGCCGGCCTAATCGAGCGTGCACCGTCGAGCGATTTAGGTCAACAATCGAAGCCCCTAGGTCAAAGGCTGTCGAGCAGTCGCCGCCCGGTCGCCGCTGGAAGATTAGTCGGTCACTGGGCGGCGAGTCCAAAATAGGTCGGCAGCCTTTGACCTAGCGCCTTCGATTTTTGACCTAAATTGCTCGGCGGCGAACGCTCGATTAGTTCGGTGCCCGGGCGGCGAACGGCCAGGCACCGAGCGTATTTTGGAGCTCCGCCGATCACTGGCCGGCCGCCGGGCAATTTCTTTAAAATCAGCCGGGGGCTGGTGGGAGACCGCCCGGCAATCGGAGGGTCACCGGTCGGTCACTGCCAGGACACCGCGCGAAAAAGCTCCGCGATTTCGCCCAGTTTTACCTAAAATCGCTCGGCGACCGGTCGCCGCCCGGACGCCGCCTAATCGAGCGTGCACCGTCGAGCAATTAAGGTCAAAAATCGAAGCCCCTAGGTCAAAGGCTGTCGAGCAGTCGCCGCCCGGTCGCCGCTGGAAGATGAGTCGGTCACTGGGCGGCGAGTCCAAAATAGGTCGGCAGCCTTTGACCTAGCGCCTTCGATTTTTGACCTAAATTGCTCGGCGGCGAACGCTCGATTAGTTCGGTGCCCGGGCGGCGAACGGCCAGGCACCCAGCGTATTTTGGAGCTCCGCCGATCACTGGCCGGCCGCCGGGCAATTTCTTTAAAATCAGCCGGTGGCTGGTGGGAGACCGCCCGGCAATCGGAGGGTCACCGGTCGGTCACTGCCGGGACATCGCGCGAAAAAGCTCCGCGATTTCGCCCAGTTTTTACCTAAAATCGCTCGGCGACCGGTCGCCGCCCGGACGCCGGCCTAATCGAGCGTTCACCGTCGAGCGATTTAGGTCAAAAATCGAAGCCCCTAGGTCAAAGGCTGTCGAGCAGTCGCCGCCCGGTCGCCGCTGGGAGATCAGTCGGTCACCTGGCGGCGAGTCCAAAATAGGTCGGCAGCCTTTGACCCTAGCGCCTTCGATTTTTGACCTAAATTGCTCGGCGGCGAACGCTCGATTATTTCGGTGCCCGGGCGGCGAACGGCCAGGCACCGAGCGTATTTTGGAGCCCCGCCGATCACTGGCCGGCCGCCAGGCAATTTCTTTAAAATCAGCCGGTGGCTGGTGGGAGACCGCCCGGCAATCGGAGGGTCATCGGTCGGTCACTGCCGGGACACCGCGCGAAAAAGCTCCGCGAATTCGCCCAGTTTTTACCTAAAATCGACCGGCCACCGACGGGAAATCGACAGGTCACCGCCCAGGCATCGCTGGGGCTCTACAGCCTGCTCGACTTCTCCAACAATCTATCATTTGCACTAGGTGTTTAAAAACAAACAAACTTGTTCTTCTTTATCAACTCCTTACATAATTCAAGGATTCTCTTCAAATTTTGGCAACACCCAATGGAAGAGTATTGAGAATTGTCCACAAAATTATGTTACATACCTACGGAAGTGTCATAGAAAATTTCATTAAGCCATAGCTTTCCTATTCCGCGTTCAATTATGTTCCCAATTATGGAGATCTGTTTCATTCCATTGTAGCTTTATTTTAAAACTACTTGACTTTAGCCTTCTTAAGCAGATCAACTTACTCTCTGCAACTCTCAGCAATCTTGAAAACAGTCAATAACCTGAAAGAAAAAAAGAAAAGAAAAAAACAATTGCATTTCATAAAATACCAATATGATTATATTACAAAAATAAATACAAATAGTGAGCCCTCATTCAATGCTTAAAGATACTATGTCCCTTTTGCAGCCACAATCAAATTCTGTAGAACTTTATAGGAATTATGAATATGTCATGTATGTCCTATCTGTGAAGTTTAAACGTTAGCAGTGTCCTAATATTCAAATTATGCAAAGAAACCCGTTTACTTGCTACATTAGCTTCACTGTCAGACACTATTGAGTGACTCACTAGCTTTTTTCTTCTTTGGAAATAACATACATGTACATAAAATGAGCTGTAAAGGGTATATGAGCATTTGTCAACATCAATATCCCACTTCTGCTTGTAATGGCCAAAATTAAACTGATTGAATCTTTGCGCAGCATAAAATGTACGACCATTCGGTACAATGGTCTGAAAATCAGACCATTACTTACTGGCTCTATAGCTCTTAAGTCGATTTGACAACTAATAGTCGTTATTTTCCAACTTAAAGACATTTTCAAGCCCCCCTTTTTTTAGGGAAGTTCTAAATTAGTATTATCTTTCAAATGCTGTTGAAATTTAACCTTTTCATTTTGTTGGCCTGCAAATGGGACATAGTACCTTTGAAGGCAAAGACCAGTTTTGGTCATGCGATTGCATTGTGAAAAAAACGTTGTGGAATCGATCAGAAAAGGTTGCTCAGCTAGCATATAAGTATTGGTGTGATCTGGATCATCAAAATGATGAGATTTGACCCAGTCTTGGTAAAGTTACAAGCACTGTACACAGAAAGATGTATGTGGGACTACGCGACACACACAGAATAATAATTATTTAACTTTTGATTAACACAATAAGACTAACTAGATGGAACTTAGACTGCGTGCAGTCGAAAATGATGCCTCCGCTATAGAGCGATTTTACAAACCAAATCGGAAGCAATTTTTAATATTCAAGTTTGATTGTAATCCATTATCAAGTTTGATTGTAATCCATTATCAGGTTCTCAGAATATTTTGATTACAAGCTATTTCAGTTTGAGAGTAATGCCTCTGGCTACTTTGTAGTGGAGGCATGAAAATCGAGAATGATCTTATCTGTTTGGATTGAAATCAATCATATTGTGATGATAATTTTCATCCATCAAAGTCCTTAGTAACTACCGTTCCAAAGATGGTGAAAATAAACAAGACATACCTCCTCGTCCCCTTCCTCCGCCGAATTCTCCCCTTCCGCGTCCACCGCCGCCTCGTCCACCGAAACAGCGTCCTCCTCCTCATCCACCAAATCCACCTGTAACAAACATTGTATGTCTAGTTAGAATCCACTGTATCGTATTTGTATAATAATTAAAATTATATTATTAAAGGTATAGACCATTTCTGGTCATGCAATTCAATTGCATTGTGAAAAGAAACGTTGTGGAATCGATCAGAAAAGTTTGATCATCTATAAGTATTGGTGTGTACTGCAAGGTTCTGGAATCATCAAAATGATACAAAATTTTGCCCAGTTTTGGTAAATTAAAAGCACTGTACACAGAAAGATGTATATGGGACTATGTGATATCTATCCAGGCCGAATCTATATTTTAACTAGATGGAATTCGACTGCGTGCAGTCGAAAATGATGCCTCCGTCATAAAGCAATTTTACAAACCAAGACAGAAGAAATTTTTCGAATTCAAATTCAATTGTAATCCATTAACAGGTTCTCAGAATATCGTGATTACAAGCTATTTTTGCATACATAATGAGCCCATGACCTTTGACCTTATGAACCAAGAATTTACTCAGTTCATTGGCTCTGCAAGTAACATACATGACCTAATTTTGTCAGGAATCCATCGGTTGGTTCTTGAGATAACGCGATCACAAGCTGTTTTTGCATACATAATGTGCGCTGTGGCCTTTGACCTTTGACCTCGTGACCCCAAAATTTAATCAATTCATCGACTCTGCAAGTAACATACATGACCTAAGTTTGGCAGCAATCCATCAATCGGTTCTTCAGATAACGCGATCACGAGCTGTTTTTGCATACATAATGAGCCCTGTGACCTTTGACCTCGTAATCCCAAAATCTAATCAGTTCATCGGCTCTGCAAGATACATACATGACCAAAGTTTGGCACAAATCCATCAATCGGTTCTTCAGATAACGCGATCACGAAAACGGGACGTACGTACGTACATACAGACGGACGGACAACCCGAAAACATAATGCCTCCGGCTACTTCGTAACGGAGGCATAACAATCAGGGTTTCATTCTCCTTTAAATGAAGTTGGGTGGGGTGGGGCAAGAGGTGGACACATCACACACAGCACAAACCCATATCCATCGTAATTAATCATAAATTCATCAGATCATTAACAATTGTTATGCTTGGGGACTTCTCGCTCAGCCAAATTGAACAGCCAAATCTTGCACAATCTAATTTTCATACCCTGTACAAAAGTGGCCAGTGCTCATCCAAGTATGAATTATTATCACATGTGTTGGCATCATATGATAGACAAGAGCTTCACCCATCCATACATATGACAATTTCCCGAGAATGTTTCACATTTTTTATTTATTTGGCAGAATATTTAAAAGTTTCAACTTTGATTTTTTTAGACACTCGGTATACCTACACTCCAAAAACTTTCTTCCGTCAAAGTCCAAAGCCCCTGTCAAAGTCCAAAGCACCTGTCATCAAAACAAAAAATAAAAAGTACAAGTAAAACATGACAAAAATATAAAAAACAAACAATTAAATAAACCAAGTTAGATTGCATCACAAATTCAACTTTGGTAACAACTAATTTGCATACTTTGATGTCACTCAAACATTTCATAATACAGTCCAACCTCATTATAACAATTCAGTATGTCATACATATCAACCATCAAGGCCCCATTGCATAAAACTATCGTATCTTTACAATTAATGATATCTCTACAAACTATGGTAAATACCATTGATTTCTTGATTTTTATTAGCTAAGCAGTGTTTGCAGAGATACCATTAATTGTAAAGATACAATAGTTTTATACCACAGGGCCCTGGACTTGACAAAACACTACCTACCGTATGTACTTTTGATGCTAAATTAACATGCTACAATTGATTTTTCCCCAAAGGTCACCTACATTAATTATCCATCCTGATAGGTTTCTTTCAGATAGCATGAGGGCAGTACAAATATGTATCAAGATTCCATTCATTCTTTTGGAAGCCACCTAGCCATCATCAAAATTGTATTAAAAAAAAGAAGAAAAAAAAGAAAAGAAAGGAGGCCCCCCCCCCCCCCCCCAAAATGAAGCGGGCGGGGACGCTAAACATGTAAAAAAAAATTAATGGCCTAACTCAAATCTTTTGGGACCCATAAAATAGCTTTAACTTAGACAAATTTTGATTTAGGACGATCATAAAATAATAGGACAAAACAGGTTGGGCTACGTGTAGACTTTCAACCATAGCAATTTTTGACTTATCCAAGTTCGACTAAGGCAAGGTCAGCTGTACTATATGTATTGCATTGGACTAAAATCAAAATACATCTATCATTTGCACTAGGTGTTTAAAAACAAACAAACTTGTTCTTCTTTATCAACTCCTTACATAATTCATGGATTCTCTTCAAATTTTGGCAACACCCAATGAAAGAGTATTGAGAATTGTCCACAAAATGATGTTACATACTTACGAAAGTGTCAAAAATGTTATATAGAAAATTTCATTAAGCCATAGCTTTCCTATTCCGCGTTCAATTATGTTCCCAATTATGCAGATCTGTTTCATTCCATCGTAGCTTTAATTTAAAAACTACTTGACTTCAGCCTTCTTAAGCAGATCAACTTACTCTCTATTAACAACTAATATCAACTTACCGGTACTAACCAAGTCTCTAAAGAACAGTCAAAACTGAAATACAAATAGAAAAAAAAACAAAAAAACAATTACATTGCATAAAATTCCAGAAATGAACATATCACAAAAATAAATACAAATGGAAATAATGAGGCCTCATTCATAATGCTGAATTACATAAATACAACGGCCCGTATTCTGAAGTTGTGTCTAACATAGGTTGCGTTTATCTAGCAAATTTTGGCTAGAATCAGGTTTCTCAAACGTCTTTCAGGCAAATTTAGAAGTAGATAAACGCAAAGCCTTTTTCAAACGTCTTTAGATATGGGCATATCAAAAGACGCAAAAAGGTGCGTTTTGTATGTGACATACAGCCAGAATCACGTTTCTGAGAGATCGATAAACGCAAAGCTGTTTTGTACCTCACATACAAATAGGACCACACAGGTGTTGTGTACAAGCATACGTGTGAAGTTGACCTCCGAGAAACTGTCTGCTTCCCGGGTCAAACGGAGCTGAGCAGCTGCGAAGAGACAAGGCCTTTATTGTGAATCGTGAAGTGTAGATAAACGCGACATCCCGCAAATCACGATCGTATAGTAGGGGGTTTCGATAGTGGGGTACGATATGTACATATCTAATGGCAAGCCTAGATAAACGCGCCCTTAGTCATGTCTTAAGTTAAACGACTGTTTAGTTAGACACGACTTTAACGCGAGGTCATGTCTAAGTCCTGTTTAATAAATTTTGTATTCTGAAGTAGTGTCTAAGTCTTGTCTAACTAAACAACTGTTTAAGTCCTGTCTAAGTCGTGTTTAACTAAACTGTTTAAGTTCTGCGCAAGTCGTGTTTAACTTTTAGTCATGACTTCTGCGCATGGCCAATAGGCGTTTAATTCTGACGATAGACCCAATGCGCATGCATGCGCGCACCGGATAAATAAATTAACGCGCACAGCTAGCTGTGTGCCGTGCG